AACTTTGACGGATTGGAGAAGCAGTTTATCCATATCCAACCAAGATAGAGATGATTTGAATTTAAGCAATCTATTTGTGTTTCTGTTATATCTAGACTGGTAAGCAAAAAGAAACCATTTTTGAAAGTTGGATCAGATGGTGCTGTGTGTGTGTGTGTGTGTGTGTTTTGTCCTGTTTGTGTCTGTCCACACTATTGAAAACATGATTCCAGGAACTTTTTGTTGTTGAGTCACGAGTACTCTTCATTGGAGAAGCCACGGGTGAAAGAATAGTTTCCTCTTGAACCATGGAAACATTGCAAGCATGCCTCGTACACATTGGATACTTCCTCCGGGCTGATTGGTTCTTGCAATTTTTTCACATTATCAAACAAGAAAATTTGGATGAGCTGCAGATTGGGCGAATTATTAACCCAAAGCATTTTCAAATTTAATGATTTAAAAGTATAATTTTTTTTCAAAAGAAGGGTGAGTGTGCTATGTGGACGGGTTGGGCTTGACAGATAGACCAGACTTCGGGTCAAGTAATGAGTTTAGAGTCAAATTTAAGCCTTCTTTTTAAAGATATTAAACTCAGATTCGGGGTAGGTCAACTATTGAGTCTATCAAATTTTAGGTCTATTTTTTTGGGCCGGGTAACAAGGCCCGTGAATAACCCAGCCTATGCACACCCCCACAGTGAACCAACAAAAGAGTATTGAATCCTCTTATTCATGAACCTGCTCCAATACAGATAGTGGGTTTTATGCGAATTCATGAAAGACCGATCTACCATTGAGGAACATCAGGATAAATCGAGGAGTGTATTGGAGGATCCAAATCGTACACCCATTGGGCAGACAAGCTGCTTTGAAATAAAGGGAAGGTTCAACACAAAGTTAAGGGGTCCATGTTGGTGGTTAAGTAGCAAAAGGCCGAGTGTAGCAGTGCCTATAAGTATTGATGAAGCAAATTAATAATGTCGTGCTGTGGAATGAATGAGCAATAAGATCAACTGAAGAATTAAAAAAGAAACCATGAGGAAAAACCATCCCCAAGACAGTTTATGGTGAAACACAAAGCTCCCATCACAGGGAATTATCAAGAAACCTATCTGCAGTAAATCAGTTTGCAGAGTTCAAATCTGTAAGTATAATCGATTAAATACATCAAAGTAACTAGAAACTGTTCAATCACATATCAGACAACTAGAAGCTGTTCGACCACATATCAGACAAAAACATAGTACGTAGGTTCATAATTGATTGTATCATCTCAATGTCATTGGATATCGTTTCAATTTTAACTAGGACGCGGTCCAACTTATGCTGAGACCAAATTCGAAGGTGTTTATCCCAACTTTATGCATCCTTCATCACTTCAATACAACCTAAATTGCTAGCTGCACTCTTTGTAAGTAGACAAGTTGAAAGTACTGCACCAACCAGGAATCTGCAACAAAGAAATAACATGAATTTTAAACACACTTCCACATCTCATCTATAATATTTAGAACTTAATGTTACGCATCACCGAAACTCAACTTGTTTGCTACATTTCCAGAAATGTAACCATGACTACAACATGTCACCATAAACAACAATATATAACATGAATTTTGCAATTTATACTTCCAGTAAACATATATTTGATAAATACAATTCAGAAACTCTAAGAAACTACACATCGCGTCAACCTCAATGGCACAAAAATGTGTGTGAAGTACTCATGTAATCAAATTACTACTACACTCACATTGGTAACAAAGATAACTTACAACTGGCTAACCAAAAAAAAAACACAAAAAGCAGAATTAAATGAAAAGTGAAGAAGAAGAAGCTAAATAACCTTTTATACAGCTCTTCTTCTATTGGTTTTAATAGTTCAACTACAGAAGAAAGAAGACGAAGCAGCAGCTTGAACAGTGCTTATCTTAGATCGACTAACCAGACCCTGGTGAGATAGCTTTCTTAAGGATTGGTTGTCCTACAACTCATGCTTTCCATGCCATGTGCTTCCTCCCATACTGAAATTGAGGCTGCCCTATTAGTCAAGCGCGGTCCTGAACAAGCGGAAGTGGGGGCAATTCAGCGCTAAGCACTCGGCGAGCTCAAGGCTTGGAAGACTCTTTGTTAGTGAAGCAGCTATCACAGAGGAAGAATAAAGGGGAGGGGCACCAAGGAGACAGAGACAACTACGTAAGGCTTAGACCCTTTTTTCAGAAGAATGTAAGCCTTAGACCTTGTGTGTATGACTTCTCCTTTGGGTAGTCTTCAAACACTCCTTCATGAAAGAAAATAACTCAGGCTTTTCTTTCCACTTCTCTTTTTCATTTGGTAATGTAAATTTATGTTTATATCTCATTTAGGAGGAAATCACTCTCGTTGTTAAATCGAAATCTCCACTTTTCCAGGCGAAGTCTGGTTGTTCTACATTGGCCAGGCCTTGCTTGATCTTAGCCCACTTTATGTCATCGAAATAGGGCAGGTTCAAGGCAGTTCTCTGTTTCTGTTTTAACATTTTTCCGAACATAATTCAATTCTCAATTGGTAAATTTGTCACATTTAGAGAGACTATTATTGCAAACCGGGTCTCACACCAAGGATCCCTCTGCCCCCACCACCCACAAACAAACAAAGGGGGAGTGAGCGCACACTTGGACATATACAAAGCACCAAACTGACATTTTCAAAGTAATTCATAATCTTCAGCACGATAAGAACATCCAAAATGCTAAAACTGCATCATACATGATTCTAAAAGATATTGAACATAAACCATTTAGTCATTAGAGATTTTGGACATAGTTTTCTTCTCCTAACAACATAGTTACTTTGCAAGTTCTCCTTCCAATATAAGTTGTTGAAGAGGAAAAAAATCAGGGGAAGCTCTAACACGAGGAGCCCCGTACAAAAAATACCGTTGGAAGAGATCCAAGAGTCTTGATGAAATATCGGGAGATAAAATTATGAGTAATTCAAAAATCAAAGGAAGCTCTGGTTGATAGCCATCTTTATGGAGTAAAGACCCCTCACACAATGGGATTCTTATTCTCCCAACAGACTAACGAGGAAGCCCATAATCTAATCCCAAAAGGAGTCTTTCCTTCTTATAGTTCTTTGAGGGAAGCTAATCCCTATACTTATAAATAGAGCTTGGGGGAAAACACATTAGGTACACAACACTCACTCCAAAGTCACTCTTCATTTCTCTTAACGAAATACTGACTTAAACATCAGATCGACCTCCGGAGATCTATTTTCGGTCTCCAACTTCTGTTTCAAGTGATTGGAACTCCGACAAGTTGGCATGGAGGTTGCTACAAATTTTGCATCAATAGATATCATTATCTTATTAATGTGACAAACACAAACAAGTGATGAATATAGCTTTCTCATGCAAAACCAATCATACATCTAGCATGATTGAAAGGTGGCACTTTCTTCTTTATAGATATTAATCCTACAACATTAGTCTATGAAGCACGGATACTCGTGTGGGGGTCGTCATGGCTGTGTTGGACATCTGTTTGACACTTCAACAAGTGCCTTGAATAAGAAACAAAAACATTAAGTAGGATACGGGGTGGATATGATTGGGATACTAATCGGACACGGTAGAGTTATTTTTTATTCTTAAAAGTTGGGGGCCTGAAGCAAAAAACAAAAAAAAAAAAAAAAGAAAAGAAAGATTTGAAAAAGATGGCATTCTCTTTTTATATCTCTCAGCTCCCTTATTCCATCAGACGAGAGACAGAGAGATCGACAAAGGAGGCAAAGAAGAAGAAGAGGAAGAAGGAGAAGGAGAAGAAGAGGAGGAGGAGGAGGAGGAGGAGGAGGAGGAGGAGGAGTGGGGAAGACCAAAAATCATGTTCCATTTTTGCCTTTTCTAGGGTTTTGCTTCTTTGTGGTTTGCATGATTTGAGGTTGATTTTGTGCCTTGATTTATATATTTATGTTGAGAATCATATGGTTTATGAATATCATTGGGTTAGGATTTTAGGGTTTTGAATTTTAGGAATTCTTTGGGAATTTTGTTTGAACAAATTGTTTGGGGATTATTTGTTCACTAAGCTCATTTACACAAATCAGGTTAGTTGACCTGTACAAACCCTAGTCTCACATTCACGTCTCTCACATGTGAAAATTTAATCTCGAAGAAAATTTTAATCTGGATTTTCATCTAATATTCTAAATATACCCTAACAAATTAATGTTTGTTAGGTCTTATAATTTTTTTTTTATATATGAAAACTATATAATATTATTTTAATTAACGATATCCTCGCCATACTTGTGTTCTATATTTTGAAACTTTGTCGTATCCCTGTGTTTGTAGATACTAGTTGATCATTCTAGTTATATGTATATAAATTAGCATATTTCAAAAGTAAATGGAAAAACATCAAATCAATGATTTTCATAGCGAATACATATATTCCGCAATTTTATCATAACAACTTGATCATCTTGTTGTTCGTGGATGAACAAGAATCATGTCAAAAATGTAGCTTCCCCATAAGATAATCAAAGAGCTTGTATAACTAAAAGGTAATACATTGCTTAACAAAATTAGATTATGAATCAAAATAATCAATACATACGTCCCCAAAGCTAAATGGAGTGGGATGCACAATTGAATCGAAGACTTCAAACACGTAGACAGCACCACAACCAATCATATTGGTACCAGCATGAAAACACATAAATCTAAAACCAAAATGCACATATAATCTCGTGTGACAAGATACACTCCAGCTGCAAGATCAAACTGCAGCTCAAACTAGTGCCAAGAAACGTTAATGTCATGTTATTGATACATCAAAGAAACTCGATGGTTTACTTGAAAATTTCCCACAATAGTATTTGAGGTAGAAAAGAAAAAGATAGTAATACAAATTGTACCTTGCAAAACGTTAATTGCATGTTATTGATATTTCAAAAAAACTAAATGATTCACTTCAAACTTTCCCACAAAAGTATTTAGGTACAAAAGGCAAAGATAGCAAGACAAATTGTACCTTAAATTCGGTAATCAAGCCACCATCTGAAATTGTTTCATTGCATCACAATTGGGTGTTTGCCGTATCCAACCCCATTGAAGACGCTGCAACTCAAGCTGGCAATTATAAGCAAGGATTGAATAATAGTCTTTCTCGACTCTCTGCTCAAGTACCACCCGCTCACCACTATTAGTGGGATACTCCTGCTCAAACCTCCCTGACTTCACATAAAAATTGACACCTTTTTGTGTAGTAAACCTGTACACATACGGATCTACTCTCGAAAGCTTATAAATTGGCTCCGATGACGGCACAAAGTTCAGCAATAATATCAAGATGACAGGCAACAATTGAATTAAAGCTCGAATGTTAAACCCGCTAGGTCCATGATTACCAGTTCTAACACCCATTCCAGGTCCAAAACTAAACCCAGTAAATTGAGTTCTTGTTGCTGGGTGCATTCCTCCAAAGAAATTCCTAAAAATCTCATCAGCATCAAAATCACGATCATAAAACCCATTAAATTCTCCTCCTCCACGCCTCGTGGCACGCCTTTCATAAACAGGCTCATCGTGCCCAACAACATCATATTTTTTCCTACTCTCCTCATCACTCAAACACTGAAACGCCTTGGATACCGCCTTAAATGCTTCCTCAGCTCCTGGAGCCTGGTTCTTATCAGGATGAACTTTCAAAGACAATTTTCGATACGCTTTCCGAATGTCCTCAACACTACAAGTCTTCTCTAACCCTAATATCTCATAATAATCCTTTTTCCTCTTAATCTCTCTCACAATTGAGATATGTTCTTCAGTATACGCAACCGAATTCGTGGCTGACGACGATGGGGAAGACCCAGTAGCTGAAACCCTACGGCGAGGTCCATCGTTGGAGGGTTTTGATGGAATATCACTGGTGGGTCCGTTGGACTGTGATTGAGCATCAACTTTTGATAAAAGCTCATTAACTGAGAGAGAGGGATCGAGCCGACGAGCTTTATCTATGAATTTCAAAGCTCGGGTTTGATCGCCGGATTCGATTGCGTTTTGGGCGATCTTCAAGCATTTCAAAGCTTCATCTTTGTTACCATCCATGTCTCAAAAATCAAAAATTCAACCAAGAAATCCCTAAAAACTATATATCAATGTATGATTATATGTTAACAAAAAAAAAAAAGTCTAAGAAAATTGAGTACAGAAATAGAGGAATTAGATCTTACAGGTGGATTTGAAAAACCCTTTTCGCGGATGAATCGATTAGGGTTTTGGATGATGATCAGTTTAGAGGATTCATGATGGATTGAATTTAGATGTTGTTCTTTTTTGGGAGGAGTACGGAGACAAACTCCCAACAGAGGAAGAGGATAAATTTTGGTGAAACACGTACTCTGGAACGTCGAAGGTCAGACAGCCCACCCGGATAGTGGCGGTTCGGGCTGTCACATGACAGCCCATGGATGGGTCATGAGCTATTAGCTAATTATTCTCCTCTTTTAGTTTTTTTTTTTTGAAAAACGTCATACTTCATTAACATAGATCAAAGGCCAAAACATCAACAATAAAAGGGGGAGGAAATGGTCCCCAAACCTCCTGATCAGACGTAGAACCGGCTGCTCGTGCAAGAGCATGTGCCACTTGGTTCACAGATCTTTTTACAAACACAAATTGACAACTACCAATATCCCCGGTAAGGGATTTGCACTCATCAACTATTAAACCAAAATAAGATAAATCAACCTGGGGACTTGTAATAGCTTGAATCACAACCTGTGCATCAGATTCCAAAATCACATTATTGAGTCCCAAAGTCTTCAACCAACTTAACGCCTCATGAACACCAATTGCTTCAGCAATTGTAGCATCCAACGGACCAGCAACTATACCATTCTTGGCTGCCAACATAGAACCTTCAACATTCCTTATCACACTGTCATAACCTATGCAATTAGAATGACCAAAAAGAGCTTCATCAACTTTGCATTTGTAAGTACCTGTGTCTAGCTCCTCCAAGACCAGATAGCATCAACAGCCCGTGCCTCACTATGCCTGGTATTAACCTGAGCATACATCCACTGCTCATGCAATGAAGATGCCATTGTAACCACTTGCCCTTCATGAACTCTGCGATTGCGCCAAACCAAATCATTCCTGATGTTCCAGAGACCCAATAGCCATCATCCTTTCCAAAATTTAGGAGGTCTTCATGCTCGTCAGATTTAGAGAGGTCAGATTTGCTTGTCACTTGTTGTTGTTCCTTGCTGCTCTATTTCTTGCTGCATTCTTCTGTGACCTTTAATTGTGATCAGGTATTCGTCTCCCCTCCCCGTCCCCATTGATTTGCTGCCTATTTTGCTGTCGAAAACCCCTCCCCTTCCCCACTATTAAATCTCTCCTCCTCTCCACTGATTTGTTGTCTGTTTTGCTGCTAAAAACCCTCCCTCTCTCCACTGTTTCTGTAAAACCCGAGTAAATTTAATTTTTTGTGAAAAAGGGCAAAACAATAATTTATCACGTCAGTGCATGTTGAAAACCTAAATTTTTTTAGAACTTGGATGACGAAACGAATCTCACTGTTAGATTCGTCTCGCGAAATCTAGTTATCCACATAATTTTTGTTGAATTCTGAGACAATTAGATTTTTTGCATTTTACGAGGCGATCGGGTGTCGCATGACCTAAAAACTAGATGTGGAATAAAATTTCAAAAATTAGAAAATAAAAATATTTTGAACTTGAACCGGAATAAAATTTAATTATTTCGGAACAAAATCGAACCCGAGAATGGAGAACGTGTGGAGCAATGAGGACCAAACATCTAAAAGATATACCCATCAGATTTTCTGGAAAAAAATTCAAAAAAAGATGGGGAAGCTCCACATTCTTTCTATGATATACAAAAATTCGTTGGTCAAATCGACTCAAGTCAAGAATAGAAGTTATTCTTCGTCGAGGGTTACACAACCATACAAAAAAAAACATAGATTTGGGTGAAATTTCAAAAAAAAAAAGGCTTGAAGAAATAAAAGGTTTTAGGCGTGATTTGGAATTCTTGGAGCTTCATAACATTGTTTACGCTTCAAGAGGTAGGGTTTTTTTTACCTAATTAGGTTTATTTTCAACCTAGGGTGATTATATAGAATTGTTAGGGTGTTAGAGGTGTATAACACTTACTATTGTGGTTAATTTGATAAAATGAGTATTGAAAATGGGTAAAATCAACTCTAACTTGAATTGATATTTAGAAGTTGCTAGCTTGTAATTTCTTAAAAAATTGTGATATGTGGGTATAATATGTGTTTATATTATGCCTTGGAGAATTAAGTATGTTATTTGCATGAGATTATGTAATAACATGCTTGAAAATTATTGTTAGGTATAATTTTGATGTATGTTTGGTGATATATTGATATTAAGATAATTTATGATAATTATATGCTTATGATATAATTGATCATGGTATATGTTAAAATGTGGTGGATATGGATCATATGACATTCATCACATATTGAACATGATTATAGTGTTACAATTGTACACTACATTACATATGTACGGAGGTATCGCATTCATGAGCATTAGGCATGAGTGTGGGTGTGTGTGCATGATTTGATCAAATATCATTCTTAGTGGATAATTCGTGAGCTCGGGATAGTTGGACCGAGGTTCGACTAAATCGCATGGTTTACATTGAAAATTGGGTCAGAGTTAGCAAAAAGGGTTAGACAATCTCTCGGGTGCAAGATCTGATTACTTTGGATATGCACTCCATTGGTATTGAGTCCATAAAGTATGTCAGTATACGCAGAACTGTTGGTGGAAGTCCATAGATGCCCGTGTCGGTTGGGTGACCGTTGGTAGAAGTCCATAAATACCCACTCTAAGAAAGAGCCAGAGATTTTAAATAGTCATTGGATGTGTAACATCAATGGCGAAGGTTTGGAATGCCCAGAAAACATACGCATGGCATTTGCATGTGTTGATAGAGCCGGTGAAGGCTCGGGTTGAAGTGCATGAGTGAGTCTCATCTCATTTTATGGCATGACATGGTGATTTTCAACATTAAATTGCATATTCTTGATTGAAATGGTTGTTGCTTGTTGAATGTTGCATATGAACATTTCATATACACTTAGGTTAGGGAGTAACCTCTTTAGAAGATACCTTATTGAGCGTGGCTCACCCTTTATGGGAACAACATTTCAGGTGCGGGATATGCGCCAATGAAAGGCTCTCAATCGGGCCCTCATGATTGAAAGAAAAGTCGAGATGTGGTTTTTGAAACATATTTTGTAAAAACTATTATGTAATTTAGTTTTGGACATATGATATTGTAAAGGATTGTAAAGTGAATTCATATGAACTGTATTTTGCTTAAAATTGATGTTATATGAGTTTGGTATGATTTTGTATAAGTTTAGAATGAATGGGAATTGAAAAAAGAAGGAATTATATGAAAACTGAAAAGACCTGCCGGTAGAACGACGAGTTCTTCTATTGATAAAACTTTTTCAGTAGGCTAAACCTACTGGTAGAACATCAAGCTTTACGGTAGAACATTTCCAATGAGTTTTTCTACCAGTAGAACGATGACAAACCTACCGGTAGAAATTTTCTAGAAGGTTTTCCTAAAACTTCAAATTTTAAGAATGTTTTACTATGCTTCTGGACTTTGAGTCTTTTTATTTAAATGGTTTAAATGACAATAACTGAGTATAAATTGTTATATATTGGATCTCAAATGGGTCATGTGATTAAAGTGTGCGTTGATTATGCGTTTAAGAGTTCCCAGTACAAGGGAGACTATGTCCAAACATTGTGTGGTTATAATCTTGGTAAAGGAGTGTTATGCCGTAGTGTTGGGTTATGTGACATTTATGGGTATTTTCGTGGGTTGATGGATGATCAACGGTTAATAAAAGACCCCTGATTTTAGAGGCGTCACAATTTTTGTAGCCTGTTTTGCTACCAAAAACCCTTCCCCCTCCCCACTGATTTGCTGCCAAAACCCCCTCCTCTTTCCCACTAATTTATTGCCTATTTTGCAGTCGAAATTATTATTAATTAAATATGATTTGTGGTTAAATATGCTATTAGTATTGACATATTTTTATTAATTAAATATTATTTGTGTCAAAATTGTTATTAGTATTGATTTGTGGTTATATATGTGATTAAATTGTTATTAATTTTTGGTTAAATAGGTGGTTAAATTAGTATTAATTTTTTGTTAAATATGTGATTAAATTGTTATTGATTTTTAGTTAAATAGTGGTCAAATTGGTATTGATTTTTGGTTAAATAGGTGGTTAATTTGTTATTGATTTTTGGGTTAAATAGGTGGTTAAATTTATACAATGTATGGTTGAATTGCTATTATCAATTTTTTTTGTTATTTAAAATAGATGGATGTTAAATTGCTATTAGATTGTATTATTTGAAATTTGATTCGAATTATTGTTATAGTATGTTTTGGGTTGAATTACATGAATAATGTATGTTTTGGGTTAAATTTTAGGCATTACATATAGAACCATTTGAACATGGATATTATTTCACCAATCTCTTGAATGACAGAACAAACTTAGATGATATTAACACTGAATCAGTTGGCCAAATAAGTCATTCTTCACCAATATCACCTTAAATAGAATTTACCACCAAAAAGATTTGAGGCGACAACTTTACAGTTGATGAGGATTTAGTTTTAATCTCGACTTGGCTTAATATTAGCGTGGATGTCATGCATGAAAATGAGCAAAAATCTAAAACATATTGGCAAAAGGTTTGAGAGTACTTTAACGAAAACAAACCTCAGTCAAATTGTAATCACAATCAGGTTTCTTTGATAAATCGTTGTTCGCCTCAACTAGCCACCAATAAATTTTGTGGCTGCTTTAACCAAATTGAAATGTTGAATCAAAGTGGTATGTAGAAGTGTTTAAATTTTTGATAACCTGCAATTTCTGACCTTACCCGACTCTATTGAATGGCTAGTCAAAAAAATTGGGTAGGAATGCAGAATAGCCATTAATTTTCGTATTCTTAACCTACCATACCCGCATTAATTTATAAAAACTCTAATTCCCTAATCATATGGTTTAAAATTAAAATAATAGTTATTGTATTTGTTCAACAATTATGATGGATTGATAGTTATGCTTTCTTGTGTTTTATTGTAATTGTTGTTGTAATTATTTTAGATTTTAGTGTTATTAGTTTATTGTGTTGTTAAATTAGTGCATGTTATTTAGTTGAATTGTGAAAATGATCCAAAAATTAATAACTACAAAATTGTTCACCCGATTTCCTATCCAACATCATACCTGATTAATTTGGTCAAAAGTCGGGTAAGAATACCACACTTGATGGATAGGGTAGGCGAAGAAAAAATTCTTCCGTAAAGTATTGGGTAGGAAAACGAAAGACTATATTTTCTACCTGTAGAGTATGGTGAACACCTCTACTGGTCTAAATGAGA